CTCCAACACCCGCTCCACCGCGGTCATTGTGTTCTCCAGCTCCGCGGATTGCCGCATGGCCCACTGCACCATTCCGGTCATGCCCATGGCCTGGGTGATGGCCAGACCGACCTCGCCAGAGCTCTCCGGCGGATTGATGAAGTAGTTCAGAATTATGATGACGATGTAGAGCGTGCAGAACAAGTCCAAGTAGTAGCCAAAGGCTCGGTTCGTGGCCAGGAAAGCGTAGTAGCCGGAGCTATGCAGATCCTGCAGATTGTCGAACTCTTCAATGAGCGCCTTCTGTGCTCCCAACGCGCGAATGGTGGGCAATCCACTGATGGTGGCCCCCAGGTGCGAATATATTGGAGACCTAGCCACCGCCTCCAGCCGCTTCACATCGCGCGATGTCTTCAGGTAGAACTCTCGGATGTAGTAGAAAATGATCGCCAGAGTGAGCGTCAGGATTAGGTAGTACGGATTCGTGATGCAAATGACGACGACGATGCCGGCGAGAATTAGGAAGAGCTGCACCACATCCAGCATTACGGTGGGCAGCAGCTCATCCAGCTGTCCCAGATCCTTGGAGAAGCGATTGAGGATGCGGCCGGAGGGATTCGTGTTGAAGAAGTACATGGCCGCCCGCGTGATACCGCGGTACATGGCGTTGTGGAGGGTTGTGGAGCTGCGCATCGCCATCTTGTAGAAGAGCATCGTCCGCACGAGGGTGAAGACCACGACGGCCACATTCAAGGCGGCGAAGTAGTACATGTCCGCCGGATCCGAGCTCATCTCTGCCTTATTGCTGTTCTTGTTGACCCTGCAAGAAGAAGGCAAAGATCCATTAGAGCCAATCCGTGAGGGAACGCCGATGGAATCACTTACCAATAAGCGAGGAAGATATCCGCCGCAGAGCAAACAATCTGCGTGACCAGGCAGAGGAACAACATGAAGGAGATCATAAACCAGCTGCTGCCTGCCGTCAGATACTCCTTGTAGAGCCCCACTCCGATCTTGCCCTCTACCCGCGGCTCTTCCATCTGCAGCGCCGCCTCCTGGGCCATCGACTCGGCCATGGAGCTGAGGGAAGTGAAACTATTGTTGCGGCTGGTGGGGCGACTGATTTTGCCGCTGCCACGTCTGCTCAGCGACGGCACGCTGAGGCGATCCATTTGGTCCCCCACGGCCACCTCCAGCTCATCCACGGAATCGTCCTCGTTATTGGGATTGGTCAAGAGCCTGGCAAAGTCCAGACCACTGCGCTTCATCGAAGAGTAGGTGCCCATTGCGCTGATGCGGCCCTTTTCCATGATAACAATGAGGTCGGCTTGCTCCAGGAACTGCAGCTGGTGCGTGACGAGGATCACCAGTTCGCTGCGCAGGTACCCGTGCATGCACTGATCGAAGAGGTGGCGCCCCACGTGCGTGTCCACTGCGCTGAGAGGATCGTCCAGGAGGTAGATGTCTGCCCTGCGGTACACTGCCCGAGCGAGGCTGATGCGCGCCTTCTGTCCGCCCGAGAGGGAGGCTCCTCTCTCGCCCACAATCGTCTTGTCGCCGTACGGCAGCAGCTGAAAGTCCCGCTCCAGGGCGCACTTCTTGACGACAGTGCGGTAGCGATGCTTGTCCCACTCCAGGCCGAAGAGGATGTTCTGGCGCACGGTGCCCGTGAAGAGCCACGGCTCCTGCGAGGCGTACGAGTAACTTCCGTCCACCCGCAGGCTGCCATTCTCCGCGGGCAGCTCCCCAAGCACTGCCTGAATCAAGCTGGATTTCCCAGCGCCCACGGGCCCTATCACAGCCACTAGCTTGCGGCGTCCGAGCTGCAGATTGATGTTCTCCAGCGTGGGCTCTGCGCTCTGGCTATCCCACCTGGCTGTGAATCCGCTAAAGTCCAGCAGTTTCTCCGGCAGGCCGTTGGCCTTTGGGCTATCACCAATCACGGGCTCCTCCTTCTGGATCTTTGACTTGTCGCGCACTTGCGTCTCCGGATGATGCATGAACGTCTCCAGGCGGCGGATGGAGACGAGCAGCTCAGCAAACTGCGAGATTCCCTGCGGGAAGAACATCGTCACGGACCGCCGCAAGATGTTGTAGTAGGCGGTGACAAAGAAGGCCTTCTCGGCGGTCAGGACGTTGCCCAGAAGAACGAAGGCTATGAGGCTGGTGGAGATGAAGATGCGCGACAGGAACATGGCGAAGGAGATGAGGATGCCGCGGATGTAGTTGACCTGCTTGATGCATTGCATCTCCTTGAAGCGCGTGAACTCCACCAGCTTTCCGAAGGGCTTCTCCCAGGCATACATTTTGATCACCTGAATGCCCGAGATTATCTCGTTCATCATCCGCACGCGTTCGTCTGTCCGCAGGGCAGTCATCAGTCGGAGGACGCTCGTCCGCTTTCCCAGATAGGACTGAAAGGGCAGGAAGAGGAGCATCACGGCCACGCCGAACAGCGAAGATACTCCAATCTGCAGTAAAAGAGTGGGACGGCTGGTTAGAAGGGATATTCAGGCTATGGTATTCTTCTCCGCACTTGCCTCGATGTACATGAGATACGTGACGACTATCAGCTCCAGTGGAGCCACCCAGAGATAGTGTACGTTGATAAGTACCATGTCAAAGCGTCCGACATCGTTGGACAGCAGATTCACCACCTGCCCCACCGTCGTGTCCCCCAGGGCAGTGCGACTGAGTCGGAGGGACTTCCGATAGATAAGGCTGCTCAGAGCTGAAATCCACGGAGATGAGAGGGAGATGAAGTAATCCCTAATGAATGGACTCACCAATGCGCATCTTCATACCCAGATGAAGGAGGCCGAGCATGTAAGGGTGGCCGAAGAACACTGTGAACACGGAGGCAGCAATGAGGCCGGTGGCATAGAGCTGCGCTTTGAAGAGATCCGTATCATCGCCGGCAAAGTAGGCCATTATTCCAAACAGACAGATGGGCTGCGTGACCCTGAAATTGTGTGCGATTAGTGGACTAGTCTGATTCGGAGAGGAATCTGGGCACTTGCTTGGTGAGGAACTCCTGTAGGAACAGCAGCACCCCAGTGAGCACCAAATGCCATCCAAAGACTCTGGTCATAACGCGTCCCAGGCGGGGATTCTTATTTCTGACCACCTCCTCGTCCCAGGCAGCGCATAATCGATCGCCCAATGAATCTATGATTAAAAGGAAAATGAGTTAAGTGTTTGGAGTGCAATTTGGAAAATCCCTGTACCTGACTTGTGCTCCTTGAGGGCCTGATAGAGATCCTTTTGCTCCAGGGTCTTCTTGCGGCCCTTGAAGAGAACGGGCATGGCAAAGCTTCATTGCACAGATAAATCCGGTTTGGGTTTCGTTTTTGTAAGAGGAGTAGAACAACACCACAGTTAGATATACATAGGTAGATATCCAAGAGCCAAAGATAGCGATATAGTTATTATGATGTTATGACACCGCAGGTTTGAATCTTATCAGGGGTAATAATAAAAACAGTTGCCACCCGAGAGATACACAAGAGAACATATTTCCATACGGTATACGCGCACCCTGAGTCCCTCTGAGTCATTAGCACTTTTGCCGCAAGATATTGAGAGCCTGATCAGTCAGATATCATGGTTTTTCATAGGGTTAGTGCCTCCCCAGAGAGAGTCAGAGAGCGTGAGAGTTCAACAAAGAATGTGTAGAGATCTCCATGCCTCGGGCTATGCAAATTAAGCGAGCCATTGAATGAAATAATCAACATGTCAGAGAGTTGTCACGCTGCCAGTTCTATGGGAGCCCCACATTCCACAACCCCAACCCCAACCCCAAACCCCACCCCTTGTTACTCACCAGAACATCAGCGACGAGAGGGGATTGGAGGTCTCGCGGGGATTCTCCGGTAGTTCGTTGGCTTTCATCGACTGCATCTTGGAGGACGCTGGCTATTGGAACTTTGTTTGATTTAAATCTAAATAGAATTGCACTTTGAATGGCTTTATTTATTGCTTCGAGCTACTCAAGGGAAGGGTTTTTTTGTCGAGCTCTCGATCTTGATTGAGATCTAAATGAATTAGTGCCCCGTCAATCGGTAGATCCGTGGTTGAGCAAATCCATTGCGGACACGCGCTTGTCTCTAATTATTAATTAGTTTGGCATTAGCACCGGTATTAGGACAGGAGAAACCAGATGGAAATGCGAGCGATTTCGCTTTAGAACTCCGATCGGATCACCACACCGGACTCCGATTTCTATTTGCGTTCAAGGCGGCCGAAACTTTTCCACTCGCACCTGCACTGACTCTTGACATTTGCTTCGATACGCGGCGAACCCGTTTCACGGTCCACACAGGCACAGAGGCTGGACGAATCTGTAAATACTCGTACGCACGTATCTATATCATCTGTCTATTGTATAGTATCCATGTACTTCGAAAAGCGAACAATCCAATTCGAATTTCGTAATCTGTATTTTGATTTCATTGGGGGTCGCCTTCTCATGGCACGGCGTGTTCATCCGCTTCGCGTACGCTTCTACGACTGTGATGTTCACGCTCGCTCCGGCAGTCGACTTCTAACGCCCGCTCTATGCCTCGGTCCGATTGTTATAGAGCCCAAAACTCAGGCCCCAACGTTCCGCTCTCTCTCGCTCTCTGTATTTCTCGCGGTTTTTGTGCCAGGTTAAGATCGGAATCGCTCTCCCTTTCTCTCTGGGCCCGTTGCTTTCCCTCGCTCTCTCTCTCGTGCTGTAAATTACTGGGGCCTCGTGAGTGGTCTTGTGGTATCTTCTTTCGGCACACAACAGATAGGCCATGGTTTCCTGGTTTCCACTGACACTTTACTCTTGTAATCAGTCATTATACACATTTTATCACAGAGATTATGTAGTGTAGCCTGAAAGCACATAATGTTCTTGGTGTTATTTCGAATGCAATATTGAATATTTATCAAAGGCATATGAAAGTCGAGCTTTACATTCATTAAGAAATAAATGGCTAGATAGAATTGGCTAAGAACTAGAAAGGCCTGCTCTGATGATACTATATGACGTGTCGATGACAGTAATTTGATGTTTCAAGGAATTCACAATTCAAAAGTGAGAGAATGTTTCGTTCGTACTATACGTACGCGCTGGTGCAGCTGCTCCTCTTTGCGTCCGTCTACGTGGTGTACTTTCGGGCGACGGATATCGGGATCCTGGAACCGCAGGCGATGGAGTCGCTCAAGGAACGAGTTCCGGCAGATCGTCTGGTGGTTTTCGTCAAGGACGGGCTTCGTGCCAATACCTTTTTCGAGGACTACTGCAACAACCTGCCGCTGCTGCGGCAGCTGTTCCACAAGCAGGGTCTAGTGGGGATATGTCACCCCGCGGAAGCGCCCACCGATTCGAAGTTCTCTTCCTATTTGGCCCTTTTCGCGGGCTTCTATGAGGATGCGGCATCGGTTGCCCACAACTGGCTGCTGAATCCGGCCCCGTTTGACTCGATCTTCAATCGCAGCACCTACAGCTATGCCTGGACCACGGCCCATATGAAGCAACGCTTCCCAGACATCGACCTGCCTACAGTTCTCAGTCCCGAAGTCACGCCGGGCGTGCGAAAGAACTGCAACGAGATGGAGGAATCGGTCATTCGGGCCGTGGAATTGTTTCTGTTGAGCGAATCTCAGGAGTTGCAGGAGCACAGAGGCCTCTTCTTCTTCGTGCATCTGATGTTGGGAGAAGATGCCAGTGGTGCACCTGCCACGTGCGAAAATCTCAAGTTCACGGATCGCAGTGTGTGGAAAATGTACAATCGCTTCGAGGACTGTTTTCCAGACCAACGAACAGCCTATCTGCTGACCTCCGACTTTGGACTTCCACATTCTTGTGGTGAGATTGATCTCACTGAAAGCTTTCATCTGCCTCGCTCACACCTTTGCCTCCTTAGGAGGCCCGAACAAAAGCAATAGCCTCGTGGAGGCTCCGTTCTTCCTCTGGGGCTCTGGCGTTAATCATCTTACGACCATTCGAGGCCGCAGCTTTGTGGTCAATGCCCAGAAGATGAGGCTGCCGCTGCATGTACTGAGTCCCATTCAGCTGACAACCTTGATGAGCGCACTTCTGGGTCAGGCGCCGCCGGCGAACAATCGCGGAGAGCTTCCAAGAGGTCTTCTCAGGACTAGCAAACGATATGAGGCCCACGCCATGCACACGAACGCGCTCCAATTGCTGGCGCAAGCGCGACACCTGCGGAAGCGCCACAGGTCTGGTCTCTTCTCCCGAATAATGCCAGCGCACTGGCTAAACACCAAGCTGATGGACAGCTTCGTGAAGTCGAGTCACGTCCTGAAACAGCAGCAGCGCTTCAGGTCCTTGCTGGAGTTCACCAGCAACTTTATGCCTGTGATTGTTAAGTGCATCGACTACTTCATGGATTACTATCGCTACGTCCTCGTGGTGGCCGCCTCCAGTGCTTTGCTCGGATGGGTCTATTGCTTGCGTTGTCATTTGGAGAGACCAGGACAGTCGAGCGACTCTGATGAGATTTCGGAAGGATTATCCGACTGCCTGTGGGGATCCACCATCATCTCTCGTGCGGTCACGCTCTTCCTCGTAGCCCTCATGTGTCTCCAAAGAGTCCCCTTGCTGGTGCAGGCCGTTTTTCTGCTGCCCGCCCTCGTGTGGATCCTGGCACTGAAAACACTGAAAAGGAGTGGCAATATGGTGACCATCTGCGGCTTGCTGTTGCCTCTGGTGCTAGCACTGATCTGCCTCGGTGGCTTCTTTCGACGATACATCATGGCCCTGGGATACCTGAGTTTCGCTTGCTACAGCACTCGGAGTGCGTTTCGAGTGCGCGGCCCCCAGTTCTATCTGTGGATGCTGCTGCTCCTAGGACTCGCATACATCTCCGTTCTTCCCGAATCCATTGGCTGCTCGGAACGCTATATTCTACTGATCAGCATTCCGCTCACATTTGTGCGCCCCCTGGCATTTGGTGTCTGTCCCAATGGGATGCCTTGGATGATTAATGGCGCTATACTGCTGGCCGCCTTCGTTCATGTTGCAGTTGCTCCGGTGCCCTGGATGATGGTTCTGGCGTCGTGGGCGTACTTCTTCCATATCGCATATCTTCAACGACGCAGTGTCCAGATCATAGAGCTGATCATCTTCAACCTGAGCACGCTCTACACACTGACCTGTACATCGTACGAGACGCTGGTTATTCAGATGCTTGCGATGGAACTGAAACTAGGACTGCAACTGAGACAGAGGAGCACCGACATACATTGCATCAAACCAAGGCCGACTGCCATGTACATACTGGTGTACAGCTTGTACTCCATCTTCGTGTCAGGCAGCATTCCTGCTTTGGTTGTGGACTTTCCCCGGATCCTTAACGAAACCTGTTTCGGCTACACAATCTGGACCGGTGGCCTGGTGATGGCGTTGAAGCTCCTGCTGCCCTGGTTCCTCATGCTCTGCATCCTGGGAGATGCCTATAAAGATGTGTGGTCCCAGGAACGCCAGATCTTTGCCTGGCTGATGTTCATGTGTAGCACCATGTCCGTCGGGCTCCTGTTGTGCGTCGTCAATCACGGTTCCGGGCGGAAAATCGTCAGCAGTGTCGCGGCCCTTGCCGTGGTGCAGGTGTTTCCTTTCCTGTGGCTCCAGCTGTGGCGCCTGGCCAACTCGAAGGTGGGCAACAAGTGGATCTCCCAGCTCTCGAATGCGCCTCCCCCCATAAAACAAAACTTAAATCTTAGCGCTTAGCTCGCAATGTAAATAATAGTATTTTATTTTGTTCTTCCATTTTCGGTATTTTTATACTTTTCGGTATGTTGTGAAGTCGAAGCCGAGATGAGGGTATATACCGCTATACAATGGTATATTTGTTCCGTTTCCCTTGGTATATTACGGTATGTTTCTGAGGGTCAGACCGTATACTCGATCGATAAGGTCACACTGCACACCTGATTTCTCCGGGGGTGTAAATGTAAAATGTAAAATAATAGTATTCTATTTTGTTCTTCCATTTACGGTATTATATACTTTTCGGTATGTTGTGAAGTCGAAACCGAGATGAGGGTATATACCGCTATACAATGGTATATATGTTCCGTTTCCCTTGGTATATTACGGTATGTTTCTGACGGTCAGACCGTATACTCGATCGATAAGGTCACACTGCACACCTGACGCTGATTTCTCTGGGGGTGTAAATGTAAAATGTAAAATAATAGTATTTTATTTTGTTCTTCCATTTACGGTATTATATACTTTTCGGTATGTTGTGAAGTCGAAACCGCTATACAATGGTATATTTGTTCCGTTTCCCTTGGTATATTACGGTATGTTTCTGAGGGTCAGACCGTATACTCGATCGATAAGGTCACACTGCACACCTGATTTCTCTGGGGGCGGAAGGGGTGGCCAAGAGCAAAGTTAATCATAACAATAATCCTACACATTGTGCGGGCGCAAAGTGTATGCGAAAACTAATAACCCGAATGTGCAAGACTTTATGAAAAGAAAGCTACGCGGACACCCCTACATATTGCGCATTGCACGACCACAGCAGGAGCAGCAGCAGCAGCAGCACGAGAACAGCGTAGCAAAAGGTGAGGCAAAAAGTTTACACGACGTATGTGGGGGCGGACGGGACGGAGGCGTTGGTTAATAATAACAATTGGTATGTATTGTGTCGCACACACAGCTAAGCGGAGAATCACGGTACATGTGTCTATGCGAGGGCTCCACCATCGCACACACAGAGACACTTGTTTTCGGGGCGCGTAGGCAAAATCAAAGCAATGTGTCGCTTTCTAGAGAGGGCTTTCGCAATGGCTATGTACATGTTCTGTTGAGAAACACAAATGTGCGAGATGAAGAGTGGATACCAAAATGCGACTTGAGGATCGGGCATGCCTGATGTTATTAGATTTTGGAGAAAATGGCAGCCAACCCAAAACTTGTAGTGGGTGGGTGGGTGGCCATGCCCCCAAGGCGTTATGACGTGTTGTCATTGCGGCGTGAGGCACGGAAACATTTCAGTTTGCTTGTGCCAAATGCGATCATGTTTTATGACTCGTCCCGCAGTCCGCAGATAAGGTTCTAATTCCGATTGCCCGAGGTCGGTTGTCGCTGCGGCAATCAGCGGAAAAGTAACTAATTTTCTTTGCACTCTGATTTTCTCCGATCTTTCGTTCGTTTTTTCCCCCAGCTGTTTATTCGAGTGCGGGGCGCAGGCACGGCCCAGTTGCCTCAATTACTTGCAGTTGCTGCACTTGCGATTCTCTCATTAGGCAGGGGGGGCATGGAGGGGCGAAACTGAAAGGCCCACAATCCGATACGATTCCCTTTCTGGGCTGTGCTGTGCTGAGCTGTGCTTTCACTTTTGGAATCGGAAGACTTCTGCAGCAAGTGGCTTAGTAATGGTTCGATTAAGGAACCAATTAACAGCTGTTTATCCAAGAGACGGGACGGGCACTGGCAGCTCCTATAAACCAGCGTTGAGGCACATTTTTCCGCATAGTCGGTTCCTCGGCTGGCTGTGGGCCATGCCTTCCCTATTTTTCTCGCACTACCGTCACAGCATCGACTGCTTGGAGCTGATCCCCAAGGATGACAAGGTGTGACTTTCATGGTTCCACGGACATCTCTCAATGGTATCTCCTTGAGTTGCCCCCAATCTAATGTTGATAATGTTGCTGTGAGCTGTGATAAGAGTGGGACCGCCGTCCCAAGATTGCCCAAATTCTGTCGAGAATGGAAATGGAAATGAGTAATTTTTGTTCAGAGCCATGGGGGGCCGCCGACCACTTAATTGCGCACTTTGTATCATCCCAGTTGCGAGTGCTTATAGGTACAATAACAATAATAACGATAATGCAAATTACCAGTGGTTCTATCTGTCCCTCTCGCAGTCCCGTCCCTCTCCCTTTGAATTTGCATACATAATGGATGGTTGTGGAGCCAATCCATTTAGTGGGCGTACTTTGATGTAATACTTGTACTTTCTGTGCCTTCAGTTTGCTGTCGTTGCGGCAGGAGAGTTGGCGTTGGCGATGGCCACAGCACCGCGCTCACTGGACACCATCTCACTGTGCTCGACCGTCTCCAGCTGCCCGGATCGCAATGGCTTCTACGGCGGCTTCCAGCGCACAGATAAACCCAAAGAGCCCCTGTCCAAGGCCCAGATTATAGCCCGCGAGAAGAAATGGCTATACATGATCGAAAATTGGTCCATCTACATGTCGAAGAACTACAAAAAGGTGAGATAGATATCCTCTAATCCATTCCTCTACATTCCTATAATAATCTACTGTATTTTAACAGATTCGTGATCGATGTCGCAAGGGCATACCCAAGTCGGTGCGGCCCAAGGCCTGGTTCTATTTATCCGGAGCATATCTGCTTAAAAAAAAGAATCCAAATGTCTACGAAGAGCTGCTGGAGAAGCCCGGCAATCCGGCGACCATAGAGGAGATCAAGAAGGACAAGCACCGTCAGTTCCCGTTCCACGAAATGTTCCTCGACGAACAGAAAGTCGGCCAAATAGAGCTCTTCAACGTGCTGAAGGCCTACTCCATATACAACCCCAAGGTGGGATTCTGTCAAGCGCAGGCACCGATAGCTGCTTTCCTATTGATGCACCTGCCAGCAGAGGACGCCTTTTGGGTGTTTGTGAGCGTGTGTGATGTGTAGGTCCATCTATTTCCATTCCATTCCAAGATTTGCTATGTATGATGATCTTTGCAGTTACCTGCAGGACTATTTCATACCTGGCCTGGAGGTGATACAGAACGACGCGGGCATACTGGAGGGCCTGCTGAAGAAGACCTGCCCGCCAGTGTATCGCCATCTGCAGAAGCACAAAGTAGAGCCGCTGCTGTACATGACCGACTGGTTCCTCTGCGGCATGACTCGCACCCTGCCCTGGGAGACGCTGCTGCGCGTGTGGGACTGCTTCCTGGCCGAGGGCATTCGGGTAATCTTCAAGGTGGCCCTGGTCATAATCGGCGCCTCGCTCAGTCGGCACAAAGTGCGCAAGACCTGCACTGGCCTCTGCGAGACCCTGGCCGTGATGCGCTCCCCCCCGGAACACATCCTGGAGGAGGAGTTCATCATTAACAACATGATGCGGCTCAACCTGCGCGTGGAGGACTTTCAAATAGAGCATACGCGCCAAAAGGCGCGCCGGGCCAAGCAGAAGGCCCAACAGGATGGGAATCCGAACGATTCGGGGCCCAGCAACAGTAACGGTCGGCGCAACATGCCCACATTGTGAGAGATTTGGATCACGAGCACGATCAGGAGCACGAGGCCAAGCAATCACATAGACTGCTGCAGAAAATGGGCGGCAACCAATTGTTACTAAACACACACATCGCATATTTGCATGGATTTTTTACATTTAATGTCGAATAGGATGAGCGTCGTGCACAAAGTGGATGTGGAGTGAAGGGAGCAGGTGGCAGGAGAGTGACCAGGATGTCGGTCAATTACGGAGATAATATTCCATTCCAATCAGTTTGTTTAATTTTAAGCCAATTCTGTTGATTCGTATCTGTATTCTGTATTGGTATTCGAAATCGTATTATCGTTATCATTTAGTTGCAATTATTACGAGCGTGCAATTGTTTATGCTTTTCAAAAGTATTTATTATAATTATTATTTATTATTATTAGCCTAGTTTGAGTACCCCGTACATATCGTATTATAATCATCCCCCACGAGACACGGCCACCGTTTCCCAGGCAGCTCTAACGAGTATGGTCTGGTCCACATATTGTATGAGCCGCACAGTTCTACTACTACGATTTTTCACTAATTTGACCCGTATGCAGCTCTGCCTGCAGCCTGCTGCGGCTTGTGGCGGGTTTAGACAAAATTGAAATGAAAGTTTATGACTTATATATATATATAAACCCTAACACGATTTTCCCAGATAATGCATTTTTCTTATAATCCTTCTGGTAAAATGACGCCCGAAGCACCAGCCGTATAGCTCCATGGATCGATATAAAGCCGAGAAATAGGGGAAAGGAGAAAATGTTAGTTTTAAATGAAAAATACCGACCAAATCAGAACGAAATGATACGATTTTTTAATGATTTGCTCAGCTATAAGATCATTGTTCAATATTTTAGTTATTTTCAAAGCCAAGGTGCCGAGAGAAATCTATATATCATCATCACAAACCATCATTCCCATAGAAACACATGCATATGTAAGTCGATTAGTTCTCGAAAGGAATTTCTTATTTATTATCATTATTCGAGCAGAGAGCTAACCCAGAAGGAGTGCATCTCACATGCTCAAGCTATCATCTACATTGAGGGTCCCGCGCACACTCTAGCTGAAAGAGGAGCTTTCAAAATTTATATCTGAGCTCAGCCAAGCCGAGGGTGCACATACTGTCGGCTGAGTTGAAATATGATCTGATAGCTGTGCCGTCGCCGCCGGCATTCCGCCCTTGGGCTCATCACAACGCATATTTTGCGTACTTCAACCTCCCCTCAGTATTCCCGCCTACCTTCGGAAACTCTGCACATAGATTTCTTTTATGATCTTGCCAATCATTTGTCGTAATCGGGTGATCCAACATCTGTATCTATATAAAAAACTTCTACGTTGTTTTAAGATAGTTACCTTAAAACTTCCGATTTGTACATAGCCCATCGCTGTATCATATCATATGGCTTGCTGATAAAGACAAACATGCTTGATCGATATAAAAAAAAAGCAGAGGTGCCACGGGCGAGCCTTC